AAATAAAAAAAATTTTACTTACTCTCCATAATTATATTTTGTGTGAAGAATAAAATATCAATCACATATAGCTTGTATTAAAAACCTTGTATAACAGTATTCTCGATAATGAAATGATAAAAAACAGGTAAGTACTTGTAATCAGACGTATCACATAATGCGTACTTCATAATGATACATTTAATATACTAAAATATCATTATCAACGACCTATTAGTAAAATGTTTACTTTGTAGGTACAATGTTTATAAGTAATTTCATAACGTACCGTAATAATACTAATTATTAAAGATTAATTAACTTTTAAAAATCTTGCCATGTCATGGATATTATTTTGTTAACTGATAACGTTCAATGTGTTATTCACTATTTAGTTAAAAATGAAAATATAATTCACTCACTATAGCAAAACAATAAAATACATCTAAAATTAATTGTTAAAAAAAAAAAAAAATGGAAAGTGTATTGATTTGTATTCTTCCTTCAAACTAATTATTTTTCGATTATAATTATTTTATCTTCATAACTTTTCTTGGAATATTTTTATTTTGACTAATGTAGTTAGATATACTGAAGACGATGGAGAAGTCAATACTCGATGAGGTTCGACTTGGTTTCAAAGTTGTGGCATTTGAAAGTTTACGATTTGCATTGTCACGGTAATCATGTCTAGCCGTAATGCTAATGCTAGAATAAAAATAGAATAAGTGATAACACGGTCAATATGCTTTATTAGTGTAGTGCCGGTTCATAGAGTAATGATTATAATATTAGTATTTTTTATAGTTAGTACCTAATAGTACAACTTGATGAGCCTGGTATTTTTACAGTTACTAAGGTTTATATAGATAAAATAAGTGTATAATATCATAATTTACATAGTACCTATGTCTAAAAAACCTTGCACAGCTATGCGTCGCCTGGCATGTATTTTTAAAATGACAATTATTGATAAATATACCTATTCATAACATATATCGTCACATGTTATTTATTGAGTAAGGCAAGTACACTGTGGCAGAGTAATTGGTCTGGAAATGGAAATTTTTCAGATGGCCTGCTGGTGGTCCGATTATTTTATAGTTTATACTAGATTTTATTTACAAAATGAGTTTTTTTTTTCAATTTGCCTTTTATTAAAAAATAATTATAGCAAATCAATTATAAAATAATTATGTATCAAAAAAGAAAACAGACAAAAAACAAAATGAGTAAATGCGACAATACTATGTTTATATTAAAATTTCAAAAAGTTTAAAAACTATNACATCCATTACAGTAAAAAGTTACGCTTGGCATCTACTGTACATTAGTCGTTCTCTGGTTTCCTTTTTTTTTTTTTTGTACCATCATGAAAAATAAAAATTTTTTTTTTTGATTAAGTTTTTGGTTATCATAATAAATACATCAAAGAACTTGTAAATAAATTTCTAAAAGGTTTTTTTCTAATCATTTGAACAGCTTTTGGTCTTCAGACATTCGTATCATAATATTATTTTAAATATCATTTTTAGCTTTAACGAAAGTATTAAATTACCTAAATACGCCGAAACAAATCGACTTCTCTCATGTGCCGGTATCCAATTAGCGGTCATTGTATGCATTGAAGGCCACGCACCACCCTATAATGAAAGTAATAAAATTAAAATATGTGTCGTCAGTTTAAAATACAAAAAGTCTTACGGCTATAAATCCTTGAACAACACGAACAACCACGAGTGCTTTATAATTGAATTTTGCCGATGCAGGTATTGCAAATGACAATATCGCCGCCACACCGTTGCTGATACCAAATACAGCTTTTGTGCCATATCGTTGTGCCAAGATTCCACCTGGTATTTGCATGATCACGTGCAATGTGAAAAATGCACCTAATATTGAATTTTGCTGATATTCATTCCATTCGAATTTATTTTCCTTGATCATTTAAGTATATTAAAACAGTAAGTACTATAATGATTTATGACCAAAATAATGCCTTTGCATACATAAACTATATAATATAACGATTGATCAACATTTTAACCACGAAATACAATAGCTAGATCATGATTAAATTATTATTACTATTATTATTATTATTATTATTATTTTTATTATTGTTATAGTTACATTTAGATCCTCTGAAGATATTTGTGCTAAAGTAGTGTTCAACATCAACGGTTCAGTGTTCTTGAGACACTCATATTGTATAACCGTAACATTCTTTTTCGATATTGAATGTTTAATCATTGACACGATGGCTATATTAATATTCACTCGGAACATGTAATTAATAGCAAACCCCCAAAAAGTCATGTACCATAAGACTGTCCGTTCTGTAATATTATTTAATAGTAATTAGGATTAATTATAAATATTWKAAATAAAAAAAATTTTACTTACTCTCCATAATTATATTTTGTGTGAAGAATAAAATATCAATCACATATAGCTTGTATTAAAAACCTTGTATAACAGTATTCTCGATAATGAAATGATAAAAAACAGGTAAGTACTTGTAATCAGACGTATCACATAATGCGTACTTCATAATGATACATTTAATATACTAAAATATCATTATCAACGACCTATTAGTAAAATGTTTACTTTGTAGGTACAATGTTTATAAGTAATTTCATAACGTACCGTAATAATACTAATTATTAAAGATTAATTAACTTTTAAAAATCTTGCCATGTCATGGATATTATTTTGTTAACTGATAACGTTCAATGTGTTATTCACT